ATGCTTGCGCAACTTTTGTGTTATTCTTATCTGAACAGTGTTCTCTTGATCTTTGTGCAAATGAATGTTTATATACTGTGTAATTACTCTAGGGTTTTTCTGTTGATGGACTCAATGATTGGAATGGCAGGCCTGTCATAATTTCATTCCCGTATTGGGCTTCTGACTTTCTGTTTTGTTATTTTCTGATATGCTTCGCGTGTTTTGTGTGAATTCAGTATTACTGCAGCCTTGTTTGTACTTGATTTCGCTGAGATGTGATATTTTACTGCTTTGTTTTACTGTGAACCAAATGATCCCTCCTTTTGTATGTTTGTTTGAGGTTTGCAGTAGGATAATTGGGCCTGTGATTAACATTGTACTTCTGATTTTTATGCTATGAGACAAATGCAATATGATGATTTTGTTGGGCTGGACTGTAATTTTTCACTTGCTGAGATAATTTTGTTATCTTTTATGATATGCTTGTTGGGGTTGAAAGTGTTATGTTATGTTATTTTCCATTGGGATGGAATTATGTGTTTAATCTTTATCTCTTCTCAATTTGTCTCTTGTGAACCAATATTCATTTGTGATTTGCAATAGATGAATTGCTTCCCATGATTAAACCTTGAAATTCTGATTTTATGAGGCTTTAATGTTCGCTTGAACATGATTGAGAAACAACCTTTTTTCTGATTCCTATCTCAAGATCCTAATGATGAAATAGCTCTTTGTGAAAATTCCTTGTTTGTTGTTCAAGTTTTGTGTTGCTTTAACTTTTCTTTTCTTATTTTCATGGACAATGAGGATGGAAAAGGAAAGCTTGAGGGAGAGAAAGAAAGAGGTGGAAAGGATTTAAAGAGGAAGTCATGGCAAGGTGTGAGAACAAAACTCTTGAAGATGAAGCAGTAAGACTTGGAGAATTTTAATATTGAAGAAGAATTAACAAATAAGAAATTTGTGGATTTATGATCCAAATTTGTAATTAAACTTGTAAAGCTTGAGAATTTGGAATTTTATCTCCATCCTCGTCCCTGCGGGGGAAAAAAATCCCCGAACAGATAATCCCCACAAATATCCCTGTTAACAGATGCAAATTGACATCCCTACCCATAGCCCCATAGCTAGAATTGTCATTTTCGACAATATCAGCAACACCATTTGTTGGTGTTTCGACATTTATTTCCCTTTGCACAACTGACTTCGTTGGTGGAAGTTTTGTGGTGGTCTTCGTTTGGATGAGAGTGGTAGAAATTTTGGATTTCTTTTTTTTGGAAGCAGGTTTCGAACATTCTGAAGACATATCTTTAGACTCTGATTTAATTTCGACGATTTTTGGTTGAGCTAGTTTTCATTTCTTTAGAGTAGGAGGTGGTTTCTTATTGTATGAAAAAGCAAAGGTATTAGTAAATTTCGAATAGACTTGTAATTATATTTTATGATTCGAATAAGTACTTTTATGGTAGTCTTGGCAATGGTGATCCCTTCACTTTGTTTGACTTCCTTTGCAGAACCAGCGACTTTTCTTGCAACAAATTTATCTTTGACACCATGTCTTTGTTCAACTGATAAATAAATAAAAGAAAGTAAAGTTATAAAAGAAGCTAAGGGAATCGTTTGATTGAACCAGTCGAGAGTTTCACCCATCCACATATGAACCATTCTGAGAATGGGGGTATGAATGCCAAGCAGAAATCAACATTTGGCAATTTTGAGAATCTCTGAGGTTCGAGCTTGAAAGCTAGCTCATACCAGTGTCCAGGTCTAACACACAGAGGAAGGAGAAAGTTGGGAATCTTTTTTGTAAACTTTTCCTTCCAAGTTATTGATGCATCGTGGATGATTCGGCTAAGATTATCGGGTATATACATAGTTTCAAAGTACTTTTGAAATGCGTGAATCTCCTTGATGTGAGTGACCTTACCTTTCTTGAAGCGATCTGTATGGAGGTAAAAGCATGAGTTAGATGCCTAGTAAAATTAGACACATTGAATATTTCGTTGGTGTAGTAATCCTTCCACCAAGTGTCAAACTCTTGTGTTGTAGTAAAAGGATGTCAAAAGGAGATAAGTGTGAGCATGGTTTTTCCATCATATTGATCCACGTGCCTTTTATATCGTTCTTTAGTAGAAAACATGATATGGAGGCATATATGTTTTTTCTTCTCAAAAAGTGGCTTAGGTTTTATCTGGTTTAAGACAAACTATCGAGAAATCAGATTCGACTGATAGTTGACAAGGGTATAATGACTCTTCAAAGGCCTTAGCCTGTTGACAAGTAGTTTGGGGGTAAGGAATGCTTCCCAAATAGCCATGGATTCTTCTTCCTGATCTAGGGAAGGAGTAGGAAAAACTCCTATGAACCACTCAGAGCCACATGTCCTATTGACGAAAGGAGTCATTCAGGAAGTGAAGTTGTAATGCTTAACGAACATCATCACAAATGAAGTGAATGAGTTTGGAATATACGCTTCTTCGTCACAAGGAGTTAAGCGAGTTAATCTCCTCCCGTCGATGGCCTCGTTCTTTATAATGTCATCTTATTCATTGATGGTGTTGTATGTTATGAGTGATGGTTCGAATATGGCATTCAACCATAGTTGAAGTAGCCAGAAGGGTCATGCGAAAATAATGTTGTCCCCCATTTGATAGTGCCTAAAAAATAGTCAGCAGCTTTTCTTAGGGATTCATAGAGTGAACCCAAGATCATTTGGATAAGGCTTAGCTTGTTCCTAACATTCAGTTGGTTCACCATGATGAGAAACCTCTTTGTTACTTGAAGAGATCTTGAGCAAAAGACGCAATGCAACAACCATAAGGCCAGAAGGTGATATGCTCTTCCTCTGAGACCTCTTAGTTCTCCTGGACATGGTGATCGATAGTGTATTGGGTAAAGGTAGCCTTGTCGAATTCGATAGTATCTTCGTCCATTTTCATTGGATCAAAGCTCTCCCCAGTTGGTCGAAGCCCGACAATGACAACAACATCGAAAAGGGAGGGGGTCATCATTCCACAAGGGAAATGGAAGGTGTTGTGGGAAGTATCCCAGAAATAGAGGGAGGCTACCATCATATTTTGGCTATACTCTAAACTAGATTTCAACAACATAACTAAGACGTAAACCTCTAAATCTTTCGAAAGTTGAGAATTTTTCTTCTCAATCTTTGGCAACCAAGCATAATATGCTCCATGGTTCTTAGCTAAAGGAGTGTCTCAAAATACTCTAAGAGCATTGGTCATATAATCCAGACCAATAGAGGCATGGATAGACAAAACGTCAGTCGAAGACTTCGCTTGGTCTTTTTCAAACGAAGGTGCAATTACATAAATGGGTTTGCCTTTGTCATCAAGTTTTTTTTTGCTAGCCAAGGTCCTAGAGCGATGATAAACATGAAAAACTTAGAAAGAGTTGCAACATCTGCATTAGGGTCAGGAAAATGACCCATGAATGCGTGCGTTTCACCAGAAATGGCCAAAGGTATAAGTACTTGAAATTCATAAATTTTTGTCTTCTCTTCAAGAAGGGGAGGATCTGGGACATACTCTTGGTTCCCTATTTGTGTGGGTTTGTAAATACGAACGATGGACTGAGAAGCATCTTGTTGCAGTTATTTCTTGGAAGCTTCTATTTTAGGCGACATTGTTAAGTCATGAGGTTGATAGTTAAAGATTTCTGAAGGTTGAAGAAGAAGCGTTGAAGAAATGTTTTCGGTTGAGAAGAGTTTGGAGTGTGAAAATGTTGAAAGTTAAAGTTTGTTGATATTTATAGAGAAAACAACAAGTTGTTTCATATTGCATTTGAATGATGAATGCAAAATGAGCGGGGCACGTGGAGCTCTCTGATGGGAAGAAAAAGTAGTTGCACAAATTATCACCTTACTCCTAGTTTACATGAGTAATCATCATTAGTAACTATGTACGTCTTGATGAGACATTTGGAAAATGGTCATTATGACCATGATGTCACGCCAATGTTGGCATTCTCGCTGAAAAAGTCTTTAAAAAAATATCCTTTTTTGAAGTGGTTGAAAAGAAACTTGTGTGTGTGTGTGTGGGTGGATGGGTGGGTGGGGGGGGGGGGGGGGGGTGTAATATGTTAGTTGTGATTTCATCGCTCCAACGAATAGAGGTTCAAGGAGAATTCGAAAGACAAATGTTGGGATGATGAAAGTTAATTTCAAAATATAGTGATGGAAGACACATTTTGACCTAGTCTCTACCAAGATGGAGCAGTGCAACACGAATGACTTTGAAAACTTTCTGAAGGTACTCGAAGTGGGATCAACATATATTCAAATGAGGTTGTAATTGATTTTAGGCTAGAGACATGCAAACAAGGACGTGCCATCCTCCAAGAAGAAGATCGTTTGTGATAGTCAGTTTCGAATTATTATATATGGGAGTTTTTATGTTAGAATTTCGTGTGCTCACTTCTTTGTACTTATGAAGCACCAAATTTATATTTAATGTTATTCTTTTTCAATTGAAGTCATTTACATTCATTTCGTGTGACATTTTATGAAAACTAAAGTCCAAATCTGAAATATTTATAGAGATCAAAATATATTTAATCCTAAAAATAAATATTAAGGGGACCCTATACTCATGAAACTCTATTCACGGAACTCATAAGTTATTTGTTTGATAATTGATATAAATTTTTTTTTACAGTAATAATAGATTTAAGTATATTGAAGAAGAAAATATCTTTAGATTATGTAATAAGAAGAATATATTAAATAGAAAAAAGTCGAACAATTAGAGATAAAAAGAGATCTAAAAAAACTGAAAAAGAAATTATTAATAAAAATTTCGAAATTGATAATTTTTTTAGAATCGTGATATTATATATGGGAAAATTGATTCAGGTAATAGATTACATTTAACAGATAAAGCTCGGTTGTTTTGGATGTTGTAATTATATTGTTATTGCTGCTATTTCTATATATATATCATGGATGCGGCTTTACTTTTTATAGCAACTTTTGTATAATAGAACATACACACGCCACAAGGATAATGGAGCAATTCCTTGAAGAGATTGAAGAGCCAGTGAGTCCTCATGGACAATACTTCAACAGCTCTGTGATCTGTTCATATATCTTTGGCTTTCTGGAATTAGCCATTCCATTTGATGTCTCACTAGCTATACCTTTGATCAAAGATGTTTTCATCCCTATCAATCCACGTTTCTCCTCTATTATGGTTAATTCTATATCTCTTCCATACTTTATTAATTTCTACCAATACTTCACAATTTACATACCAAATTTCAATTATTATTCTATTTGCAACAGGTAAGACACGAAGATGGTAAGATGATATGGCAAAAAGTTGAAGTGAATCCTGAGGAGCATGTAAAGATTCCGAAATTTCCTGAAACCACAAAGTCATCACCAATTGAATTATATGACAATCATCTTAGTGACTACGTAACAAGTATTCTAATTGAAAGAACACCGGAAGACAAACCACTTTGGGAAATACATATTATAAATTATCCAACAACAAATGCAGCTAGCACCATAATATTCCAACTTCATCATGCTATTGGGGATGGTTACTCTCTCATGGCTGCTCTTTTTTCCTGTCTTCAAAGAGCTGATGATCCTTCTCTTCCTCTCTCTTTTCCTTCCCGAATACCATTAGATCCAAAATGTGAAGATAAAAGCTTATTTAAGAAGCTATGGTTTGGTGTAAATGCCTTTTTTAGCTCCATATCAGATTTTGGATCAAGCATAATCAAGACAAGAATGATAGCAGATGACATAACACCTATAAGATCAGGACATGAAGGAATTGATTCTCAGCCTGCTATCTTGTCAAACATATCATTATCTCTTGATCAAATCAAAGAAATCAAATCTAAACTTGGAGTGGTAAGATCAATTAAACTAGATTACAAAATTAACTATATTTTATTTCTAAAGTATATCAAATAGGAGTAATTAGATTAAATTTTCCACGCGTATTCAAATGGTGCAGACAATAAACGATGTGATTTGTGGGATGATCTTCTACGGACTTAGGCTATACATGGAGGAGATGAACGAGAAGACAAAAAGAGCAAATTCCACAGCAGTTGTAATGCTGAACACAAGAAATATTAAAGGCTATCAATCATTGAAGGAAATGCAAAAACCAGAATCCAAAGGTCTTTGGGGGAATAAGTTATCTTTCTTACAAATACCAATACCTAAGCCAAACAAATCAGGAATTTGCAACCCTCTTGAGTATGTTTGGGAAGCCCGTGAAGTAATAAAGAGGAAGAAAAGTTCTTTCAGTGTTCATCTCATAGCTTTACTCATGGATTTGGAGATGAAATTAAGAGGGCCCGAGGTACGTCACACATTAATGTTTAAGAACTTACCTTAGATATGATTTGTATTAATCTTACTTAGTTTGAAGCCTCTTTGATTTAATAATGCTTTCTATTTTATTGTGTTTCAGGCCGTATCTAAAATGATTTATGACACTGTTGGAAACACTAGTGTTATCATCTCAAACATGGTAGGGCCAGTGGAGAAGATGACTTTGGCAAATCATTCAGTTAATGGATTCTATTTCACCATGACAGGTGGACCTCAGGTATGTTATTTAAAAGTTTTCAAGTCACTTTACAAATAGTATCAATTAAAATGAGGCATGTAAATATGCTGGTCATTTGTTTTCCTAAAGGGAAATAAATGATTGGATTATACAAAGAAGACGGGTCAAAACAATCATACACTCCCTTTAAATGCTTGTGTTGGGTAAGATATTACTCAATCTGTTCCCTTTTAATTGTCTTTTTTTGATTTTTTTCGAATACAATAAATAATTTTTATTTTTTAAAATAATGATTGTCTTTTTTATCTATAATATTTTTAATTATTTATTTAACTCATTTAATTTTTTCTATCTCTTCAACGAATAATTAAGGACAATTTTGATAAAACGATAATTAATATTATTTTAAACTTTAAAAATGATAATTAAAAAAAAAATTTACTCAAAAATTACAATTAAAAAGGGACGGATGAATACCAAATATAATTCTGACATTATTTATCTCTTTGTATGATTGTAGGATATAAACATTACAATTATGAGTTATGTGGAAGTGCTAAGGGTGACCATGAAAACTCTAAAGGGATTTATAGATGAAGAGAAACTAAAGTTATGCATGGAGAACGCATTTGAATTCATATTTACAGCTTCTATGAACATCTCTGAGATATCAACCAAAGATTAATTGATATCACTGCAAATAAGATTATATTATATTATTATGTATTTCAAATATCTAAATAAGTGTATCAATGCATAAGTGATTATTATTATTATTATTATTATTATTATTATTATTATTATTATTATTATTATTATTATTATTATTATTATTATTATTATTATTATTATTATTATTATTATTATTATTATTATTATTATTATTATTATTATTATTATTATTATTATTATTATTATTATTATTATTATTATTATTATTATTATTATTATTATTATTATTATTATTATTATTATTATTATTATTATTATTATTATTATTATTATTATTATTATTATTATTATTATTATTATTATTATTATTATTATTATTATTATTATTATTATTATTATTATTATTATTATTATTATTATTATTATTATTATTATTATTATTATTATTATTATTATTATTATTATAAATAATAATTTGAATATTGCATCCACTACAAGAAAAAACCTCCTCTACGACGTATTTTTTTGACCTGATTATCAGGTGTCAAAAAATTATTTGTTACAAAGTGATAATTATATCATTGCATTTTTTAATGTTAAATATAATAGCTGTTCGCGTAAGATTTTATATTTTTTATTATTAAAAAATCGTTACAGCGTGTTCACATCGTAACTTTTAAATTAAAAAAAAATAAATCAAAAAGGTTTGGCGCTCTGGAAGAGAGAAATTTGAAAATTTTATAAAATTGGTTGCGACGTGGAAATCACGTCGTAAATATTTAAGAGAAAAAATGTCATGACTTTGAACTGATGCAGTGCAGGGTGATTAATGATGATTTATGTCCGTTGGATGTTGCGACGTGATTATCACGTGGCAAAGTTGCGACGTGATTATCACGTGGCAAAGTTGCAACGTGATAATCACATCACTGATTAGCTAATAAATTATTTGACCGTTGTGGATTGCGACGTGAGTATCACATGACAAATTTGTGACGTGATATTTACGTCGCTAATGTCTTTATATACTTTACACAATTCATTCCCCACAGATATCCATCTCATAATTTTTTCGTTATTTCTTCTTCTTTCTAACAGTTCTTCATTCTTCTCTCACTCCCTACTAATCTTTCAATTATAATTCCAATTTTCAATTTGTTACTCAAAGTATTAGGTATAATTTCTTATTCTTTCATATTTTTCAATTTAATTTAATAATTGCATTTAATCTTTATATTTATTCTGATTTAGTTAAAATTTTATTTTTTTGTCAAAGATTAAGCAATATTGAAGGGATTCATTAGTAGTAGATTGAACAATATTGATAAAGATTGAAGGAGATTGAAGAAAATGTATTTTAGTTGTTTGATTTTTTTTTCTGAAATTTTTATTGGGTTATTATATTTTAGTTGTGATAGTTATATTTTACTTTTTTTTTATAGTTATATATATTTTTAAAATAGATATATAATATATATTTTGATGAAACAAAACAAAAAAAAACGAAATATTCATTTATTTTCTTAAAACAGAAAATATATAATGTATTTAAAAAAAATAAGTTTTATATATATATATATATATATATATATATATATATATATATATATATATATATATATATATATATATATATATATATATATATATATATATATATATATATATATATATATATATATATATATATATATATATATATATATATATATATATATATATATATATATATATATATATATATATATATATATATATATATATATATATATATATATATATATATATATATATATATATATATATATATATATATATATATATATATTAAATGTTTATTTAAAAAAACAAAATTTTTATGATTAATATATTTAATATGTTTATTAAAAATGTTTAGTTAAAATAAAAACAAATTTTTTATGCTTAATATATTTATAATTAAAATATTATGTGAGAATATATTATATATTAAAGAGTATACAATTTGTTGATATTATTAAAATCACATTTGTAATTAAAAAGTATTAAGTTTGTCGTAAATAGAATCACATTTGTTTATATATTAAATGTTTATGGTTAATGTTTATTTATACTTAACATATTATGTGAGAGTATATTATGTATTAAATAGTATAAATTTTGTTGATATATTAAAGTCACAGACGTAATTAAAAAGATAATGATTGTATAAATGTGCAGTATGAAATATTATTGGTATGGTCGTAGTTTGATGTACAATAGATTGTATTTAGAAAGACGTGCACTTAAACCTCCATTTTATAGGAGTTAATGAATTTATCACATGGGCGTTTGCTCAGGAATATTGTCGAAGCGAAGGAGGAGTTAGGTGTCCCTATCTTAAATGTGAAAGTAGACCAATAATTAGTGACCTGGAAGAAGTAGCACGTCATTTTCATAGAAGGAGTTTCATTGAAAATTATTGGGCTTGGACGTATAACGGTGAATAACAGCCGAGTAACGTACCCGAGACTAGCAACACGCATGCTTCAAGTAGTCGACCGCCTATATAATATGAGGAAAACTTTAATCTGATCGGCGAGATTGTTGAGGATGCTTTTTGGTGTAAGCGTGACATATAATCAACCTAAATATTGTGACGGGGAAGAGTTTCCAAATGAGGAAGCGCATAGATTTTATCAGTTGTTGAATGAGATGAATACGCCGTTGTTCGAGGGGTCGTTAGACTCAATCTTATCAATGTGTGTGACATTATTGACCGCCAAGTCAAATTGGAATATTTCTGATCAGTGTTTGGAACATTTTTCAAAAATGATGTTGGATTCTACAGCAACAAAAGACAACTTGCCTACAAGTTTTTATGATGCAAAGAAGTGGGTGTCGAAGTTGGGTTTAGAAGTAAGAAAGATTGATTGTTGCATTAGTCGTTGCATATTGTTTTATGACAATGAGTTTGATACTCAAGAAGGATTGTTGGAGGAATACAAGTTTTATAAGAGTCCAAGATATCAAGTTCGTAGTAGAGCCATTAACAGCAAGTAAAAGCGTGTAGCAGTAAAGTCCATGTTTTATCTTCCGATAATACCAAGGTTAAAAAGAATGTTTGCTTCAATGCACAATGCAAGTCAAATGGCATGGCATGATACAAACCAAACAAGTTCAGGCACTATGCGACATCCATCTGATGGCGAGGCATGGAAGCACTTTGATCGGACACATCCTAATTTTTCCACATAACCTAGAAATGTCAGGCTTGGATTATGCTCTGATGGTTTTGTCCCATATGTCCAAGCATCGGGAAGTGCATATTCTTGTTGGCCAATTATTATAGCCCCTTTCAACCTCCCTCCTGAGATGTGTATGACAAAACCATACATGTTTTTGATGTGCGTCATTCCAGGGCCGTCGAGTCCAAAAGCCAGAATCGATGTGTACTTACAATCTTTAATTGATGATTTAAGTAGGTTGTGGATTGGAGAATGGACTTATGATATATCCCGTAAACAAAACTTTACTTTGTGAGCTTCCTTGATGTGGATCATTAATGACTTTCCAGCATATAGCATATTGTCTGGTTGGGGCACGCGTGGCAAAATGCATTTACATTGGACAAAGGGGGGAAAAGCTCGTGGTTTGACTGTCACCACAGATTCCTACCAACAAATCATCCCTATAGAAGAAACAAGACAAATTTTAAAAAAGACGAATGAGTAACAGATCTGCCTCCGCCTCGATTGTCACCAGGTGATATATGGAAGCAAGTTTGTGATCTACCAAAATTTACAGATACTGGAAATGTAGAATTGAAGTATATGGAGTCACACACAATTGGACAAAAATAAGTATATTTTAGGACCTCCCGTATTGGAAAGATAATTTGTTGCGTCATAATATTGATGTTATGCATATTGAGAATAATTTTTTTGATAATGTATTTAACCCAGTGATGGATGTTAAAGACAAAACAAAAGATAATGAGAAGGCTAGACAGGACATGAAAACTTGGTGTAACCGGAAAGAGTTGGAGTTCAAGTCTTAACCGAATGGAAAATTATTAAAACCCAAGGCTTGTTTTAGTTTGACTTCCTAAGAAGCTAAAGTGGTTTGTCAATGGTTAAAAGATTTGAGAATTTCATATGGGTATTCTTCAAATTTAGCAAGGCGTGCCGACGCTAACACTGGAAAGTTGCATGGTATAAAAAGTCATGATTGCCACATTTTTATGGAGCAATTGCTACCAATTGTGTTTGGTTCACTATCCAAACATGTGCTTAATTCACTAACCGGAATTAGTCATTTTTTTAGAGATATTTGTGCGTCAGCTTTAAGAGTGGATGACATTATTAAGTTGGACCGAAATATTCCACTCATTCTCTGTAAGTTGGAGCAAGTATTTCCACCTTGTTTTTTTTACTCTATAGAACATCTACCTGTGCATCTTGCATATGAAGCTTATCTTGGTGGACCTATTCAATATAGGTGGATGTATTCGTTTAAAAGGTTCATGGGTGATTTAAAGCGATCAGTGGAAAATAAAGCTAGAGTTGAAGGATCTATATGTGCATATTACTTGCATCCGGAAACATCACATTTTTGCAGTCATTATTTCAATCACTTGACGTTAACTCTTAAAATCATACAGAATCCTATAAATGTCAATGAGAGAAATCGATTCACCTTATCAGTCTTCGAGCTTCCAGGCCGTCCCTCTGGAAAGAAGGGTGTGCATTTCTTGACTAAAAAAGAAATGCAATCCGCACATGTCCATGTCTTGATCAACTACATTGAAGTTAAACCATTATCTTAAGTAAGTATATCCCAACTGTTTAATTTCTTTGTAGTGTTAATATAAAACTTATTATCTTGAAACTTATAGTGTGTTTATTTTTAGGAAATTTAACATCGCCTATTTTCATAGTGTCAGTGTACAATCAACATCCGATGTCATTCATGCTCAATTTCCAACTGGTTCAAGGAGAGATTGCCTAGCATTGTTTCACTGTGTAACACCCCAATTCTACCCTGGAAAATTAT